AGCCGGTTGCACTCGCGCCGGGCGACGACGAATGGCGCGCACGCTGCGCGCTCCGTCGCCGGGCAGCCACCAATAGAAGGCGTGGGCTCGCGCGCGCCCGCCTTCTTCCCTTTGAGATGGGTCCCACGGCTGCCTCATCACCTTTCTTCGTCGTATCGCTCGCCGTCGATGGGCCGTGGCTGGCGCTCGGTGGGCATGGCCACGTCTCGCTTCACGACCTGCGCACCGGCAAGCGCTGCTGGCAGCAGCCCCACGCTGCGAGCGCCGCCGGCAGCGACGACAGCGCGCACCTCGTCAGCATGGTGACGGTGTGCGCTGTCAGCGGGCACGTGGCGGCCCTCACGCCTGCCGATGGCACGGTGATCGTGCGCTCGCTCACTTCGGGCGACCTCCTGCACCGCGTCGACCACTTTGAGCTGCTGCGCGGCCTCTGGGGCGAGCTGACACACCTCCACGGCGGCGTGGAGGTCCACACGCCGGCTGGCCGCCTGGAGAGGATGTGTACCTACTCGCCTGCGCGCCTCGGGCTGGAGTCCGGGCCGGAGGCGGGGCCGCTGCGCCTCGTGACCGTCGCGCAGCTCCCGGAGCCGGGGGAAGACAGAGATGGTGAGCTGGTGCCGGCCCCGCTGGTCTCGTTGCTGTGGCTCCTTCCGACCGAGGCGGACGCCGCCGCGCCGCCGAAGCTGCTGCGGGCGCGGGAGGGTGCCATGTCTGAGCAGGCGGGCGTGATGGCCGAGGTCTACCTGACGCCCGGCCCGAGGGCCGACGGGCCGTACGAGCTGCTCCTTCTCGACGTGCTGACGCTGCGGCCGGTCGGCAAGGCTGTCTTGGCGCTTCGATCCGAGCAGGCGCACGCGTTCGATTACGACGACTGCATGCGCAAGGCGCCGACATTCGTCTCAATACAGCGCAGGGGGGAGAGGAGGTGGGTCTTCGTCCTGGAAAGCCCGAAGCCGCGATCGCATGGAGCCGACGCAGGGGTGTATCTCGAGGTCTGGTCGTTGCGCTCCCGCCAGTCTGCTGACGAAATCCGCGAGTCGCACACGGCGGGTGGTGGCGGGCTGCTGCCCGCCGCCCAGAGCTTGTGCGATCCGGAGGAGGCCCTCCGCACCGCGCCGCAGCTCGAGGCGAGCCTGCTTCAAGTGATCGATGTCGCATCGCCGCTGTACATCTGGGGCGATGAGGACAGGTCCTCCAACCGCCTTTCGCCTTCCCTCCCGCCACCGCCTTCCGCCGTCCCTCCCACCACGTTCCCGCCGCCTTGCGTAATGGCAGGTCGCCCGTGCTGCGCCTGGAATGGCCGAGCTTCGACCGGCACCGCTCGGCGTGGCTCGTGTACCAGCACACGGTCCGCGTCAACGGCATCGAGCGCCCGGGGCTGCTCCACCTCGACTCTGGCGAGCGGCATCTGGGCGCGGAGGGCGCCTACGTGGGCGACTGCTTCGAGGCGATGAAGACGGCACCGCGCGTGCCGGCCTGCACCGACCTGCGCTTGCTGTGGGCCGACGCGGCGAGTGAGCCCGCGCCCTGGCTGCTGCTTGAGCGGCCAGGCGAGTCGCGCTCTGGTGCTACGGAGGTCGTCAGGTTCGAGTGCTGGCAGCTGACGGCGGAGGGCGAGGAGGGAGAGGGGGAGGGGGAAAGTGGGGGCGAGGAGGGCGAGGAGGGCGAGGAGGAGGGCGAGGAGAGGGGCGAGGACGGGGCGACATCCGGCCGCCTGCGTAAAGGTCCCGCGCTTCGCACCACGCACGCGAGTGCTGCGATGCGACAGCTGATGGGCAGCACCCCTGTTCCCCTCGAGCTTGTTCGCATGGCACGCAGCGAGCCGCTGGTGACCGCCGCCAGCTGGCGTTGGCTTGTGCTACTCGACATGCATGGCGTGCACATTCTGGACTTCGGAGTCGGCGGCTTCCGTGGACGCTGAAGCGAGCGGCGGGCGGCTCACAGAGAGCAGTGCGGGTCTCCCCTACCGAGACCTAGCGCGGCGGGTGGGTTGGAGGGGGAGGCTCGGCGCTCGCTGCGTTCTGCGAGAGGAAGGGCGGTGTAAGCACAAGGGAGGGATCGGTGGGAGAACGGCACGCCGTGGTGCGTGCCGTCGCCCATGGTAAAAGAATTCTAGCAAATTTTTTCGGCCCCCTGCAGGTGTATTTTATTTTTGCTTGGGCCGGGCATCATGCTGAAATTCTGCAAAAACCTGACCGGCCCCTGCCCTGTCCCTACCTACCTACCTACCTACCTACCTTACTTATGGGAAACTAAAAAAGAAATCATGGGATGGGTGAAGGTGGGGTACTATCTCTTAAGTGGCGGCCAGAAGATCCGCCCTGGGATCTTCGGCGCAGGGCGCCGTCACCGGCCCCATGAGCCCCCTAAGAGGCCATTCAGTGCTCATGTGGCACGACCTGAGCAGGCCTAGCAATGCCTCGGGCCGAGCGGCGCCCAGAATTGTTGGTGCTGGCCAGCAACGTGGCCGGCGAGTGCCGTCGTTGCATTGGTGGCGACCACCGCTGAAGCGGTCAGCAGGTGGGAAGGCATCGCTCTCTTTGTGAGGGTATTGTACGTATTCATTGTCTGGTCAATACTTCTGCCTGGGTGGCACCTGTGTGCCCAACATGGCGACCCGTGGCCTCCCTCGTGAGTCCACCTCGCGCTGATCATTCTCGTCGCTAGCTCAAGCCGAAAAAGTGGTCCACCGACACCAGGAGGAGTACAACCATCATGGCCGCAGCCTCAGACTGACCGGGTTAGGTCATCTTACCGGCTTGGTGGCCCAGAAGCGCGACATTTGCTGCCCGCAGAGCGCTAGCAGCCCACTAGCCGGCACGTCTGTGCGTCGTGCGGGGCTGAACTTCAGGCACTCTGCACGCGGCTTGTCGTCTAGAATAGCTCAACCCCGGCCAGTGAGTGATGGATCTGATCATAATCAATCCCTACTGTGCTGGGGGGCTCTCAGATCAGCCGTTCAGAGCTCTGACATTGGTTCCCGGCAGAAGATCCTCCAGAGGATCTTCTGCCGTCGGCCAAAAACCCGTTTTCAAACGAGACACAATGACCCAACAATGGCCCCCACGGACATGCAGCCGACCCGGCTAGGCCAGCTGGGCCATCGGGGCGGCCACCAGCGGCCGTAGGACCGCGCTGCGGTGCCGAAAGGGGCTGGAAGATCCGCCCTGGGATCTTCGCCACCTAAGAGATACCAACTAAAGTGATGGCTGGTGGTACTATCCTGCAACCACAGTCCTTCCTGTGACATGGCAGGCCACTCTCAAGCCCTACAAGCACCAGATCAACGACTTGGGGAGGGTAAAAGAAAGAAAGAAAGAAAACAGACACGCCAAACGAGGGATGGGACGAGGACAGGGTCCCCACCTGCACGAGCAGGATTTTGGAAGAACGATCAGGGGGACAGGTGGGGCTCTCCTGCTCCTGACAAGGGACACGACAGGCTCGCAGCGCGGTGCGCGGTGGACTCCCACATCCACTGGCGGTCTCATCTCAGTCTAGCGACCTGCCTCCAGCTTGTCGCTTGGGGAGGGTTGACATCGTGATTTGCGCGGAAAAATTCTTTTTCTGCTGTGAAAATTCCGGCGTGAGAGAGGGAAAACCCCGACGGGAGGGCCCAGACCCTACCCTACCTACCCCGGCATGATGCCCGGCCAAGCAAAAAAACAAACACCTTACCCCTGGACGCCTGTGTAAAAAATGTGTGTATGTCCCTGCTCAGCGTCGCGTCCGCGGCGCTCGGTCTGACTGCGCTCGTGCCACCTCGAACCGTGGCCTTCGCGCCGCACCGCTCTCGTATCGTCCTCCAGCAGCAGGAGCCGAAGGAGGTCTCCGAGTTGGAGGCCGCCGACCCGGCGATGGCGGACAGCTCCTACGACCTGAGGCAGGTCGCGGACAAGCAGGGTGCGGGAGGTGGCGCCGGCTTCAACGTAGGGCTGGTGGACCCGATTGCTTCCGCGACCGGTTTTGTATCGCGCCGCTTCGGCCTCGCTGGTGGCCTGGCGGTCGTGGCGCTGCTGGCGGCGACAGAAGGGCGCGAGATTGTGAACGCGCTACTCGACACGGGGCCGCAGGAGGGCGACGGGAAGCTGGTGACGACGCCCTCCGGCCTGCAGTACGCGGAGCTGCTTCTCGGCTCCGGCGACACGC